CGGAGCGTATTTAAAAATGTTCCTCGTGGAAGCTGATAAAAGCGAACCCGATAACTGAATAACACTGCGGTTACGGGGTTGCTTGCATTATCGGACCAAACGATTGAAAGCTTTTTACGAACAAAGGAATATCGCGTTGCTATCGATGAATTTATTTCGAACGGCCAATCAGCACTGGCCGTTCTTTGTGACTAAAAATTAAACTTGAATCGTTGGTGCTTAGGTACTCAATATTCGCTCTCCTTCGTTTGCGTGAAAATAGTAGAACGAAGAATCAATTAAAAAGCTATTCGCTGTTGGCTTTGTATCGCAAACAATGTAAGTACTGTTTCATCGTAATTACACTCCCGGTTGAAAAGAAATTTAAAGTAAACAGAAAATAAATCTTTGAAATCTTCGACAAACATAAGGTAAGTCAAAGCGTTTATGCGTTTATCAGTTTACTTAAAAAACTGATTTCTATGACCTCGTCAAACCAATATAGTCGACACAGAGTGCATACAGGACTTAGATAAGATAGGATAGCATCGGGATGTTTGACGTTCTAAAGTCACACAAAGTTCTGCTGAATGTTTGCGAGCTTTCACGACGACTTCCTATTCAGATTGAAACATTAATGTGTAATGCAGTTCAAGATTAATTATCGGCAATAAACTTCGAGGAAAGTTCAATTTACACAAGTCTTAGAGTCTTAAACTATTTTAATGATTAGATCGGAGTAATTAGATAGCGGTCAGGATGAATCTTTAATCCCTCTAAATCTCAATAGATCAACAGATTTCGTAGTTTGAAAAGCTATCGGTCTTAAAAAAATCAATAACCAGCCGTCACAGAGAGGAGGTTAATAAGAGGGTCGAGAGACAAGTATTTTAAGCAAGGAAGAAGAAGAGGAGCAATGACGCTGAGAATGCAATAGAGTCGAAGCTTCTGCTTGCTTTTTCCGTTCATTTGATCGGATGTCCGTGCCGGGAATCGGTTTTCACATCACGTTGATAGCGAGGTTGCGTGTGCTGCCTAACAATGCCAAAAGCATTGCGAGCGCGATTCGTAGGGTCGGTTCTGACCGTGCGGATAAATAGAAACGTTCGTCGAGCCGAGGCTGGATACAATAGAAAATTAATGATGAACGAGGTGGCATACCGATGAATCTGCGACTCGTCGCGCGATTCCGCCGCGGTTCAGCGAGTACCTTTGTTTCCTACCACCCTCCGCACCCACCCTTTCGGGGGTGAAAGTTCGCGTATATCGTTTGCGAAACTGATATCAGGGTAGTGTCCGGTTACCGATACTCTTTCAACGAATCACTGATTCAGTTTCCTTTTTCCTCGCTATTTTTCTCCTTTTATTTTATCGGAAGAATAGAACGGTGTTTTTTATCGAACCAGACAGTTTCTATGTGGGAAAAATATCAAACTTTTGAAGTTTCTATCCGTCAACAGGATTCCTTATAAGCAAAGGGTTGAATCGTACCCTTTTCCATTCTCTCTCGTTCTCCGCTGGTGTAGTTTACACCCTCGAGTTTCAAGCTTCACCCTGAAATCGGTGACAATCGGGAAACACTTGATCGAAGGTACTCACGATAGGTTTCTTGTTGCAACTAAGATACACGAACAGATCGAGTATGTACCGGTGTATTTTATCGGCTGGAAGCCGTGTTCGAAGTGAAACGATTCCGATGAAAAGGTAACAAAGAGGGGTCTGGGAAGAAAGGGTCGGAAAAGTACGTAGACCGAGGGTAACCTCGTTGTTTGCACGTGTTCGCTTGGTTCGCGTTTAACCGTGCATTTGTACGGTTTACTGGAACGTCAATGAGCCCGAAAAAGTTAGTTTTCGAAGCGATGGTGACACAGAACGCGATTACCTTCTTTGCTCCGTCGATGAAAGGGAGAAAGAATGTTTTTTTATTGCCCTTTGGATTTATTTAGGGCTCGGTTTTGTAATATGGACATCTGTTACCTGACGAAATGGATGAATTCCGTGGAAATTGAAACTAATTAAATTAAAATTTTTATTTTATTATATCAATTTGATATTTTTGAAATGGAATCCATGATGCATTGTTAATGCAAATTGTACTTTCTATGCTTTGGGTAATATCAAGTTAATGTAATTAATATGTTAATTATTATATTCCAGGTATTTGTACGGGTTGAATACTTACGTCCGCAAATACTGCGCACAATTTATCTAATTAGTAGTTATCAGTGTATGCAAACATTGTTTCATATCTATATTTAATCTATTTTAATGCTATGTTACTTGTGTTTTATCATTCTTTTATGTAACTACAATTAGGTTGTAAAGAGACGAGAGTACTATTATCATGTGACGATTAATAATGTAATTCCTTACTCGTAACGGCTCAATCAGACTTGCAAGTCATTCATTTTTTATCGCGAGGAAGTTAATTACTTTCTTTATGAAAATAAATATTGCACGATTATTCGCAACAGCTCTTATACGGCATTACAGCCATAAACGATTCAAAGTTTTAATTAATTTCAACTAAATAACGCGAAAAATATGTTGAATTTGAAGGAAAGTAAAATATACTAAGAATTTTTCGAACTACACTCCTGGCAAATTGTCTCACGGCAAATCGAATTTTAACTCTTCGAAAGTTTTAATGGGTGAACATGCAAACATGATCTCGAAATCAAATACTCAAACTCGGTTGTAATTACTGGAGTGTACTTTACGGAATAAACTTGGTTGCATCGTCGGTGAGCAACGATGAATCCAGGATCGGGATCGTGGTAATTTTATACGTGGAACAAGTTTCCAGCTAATTTCATCCCCAAGAAATTCATTTGCTGGTTCGATGATCGATTTTGAAATACGGATGGATATCCAAAACCGAGCAAATATTCCACCGTTAATATACAAAATTACAAATAAAATCATAATAATCGTTAATTAATTTTCATCGGCATGGACGAGTGCTTTGATTCGACGTTGTTAAAGTTTTGCGAACAGTACAAGAGGGTTGAAAATTGACCGTATCTCGAGCACGAATTCTATCGTACGATGAGCAACGAGATCCTGACGAGCAGGATGTTATCGAAACTGGGTTATGCCATACATATGAATGAGACGAACAGGGTTATATCAGTTTTTCGTCGGCAAACACCTCATTTTCGTGGAGCACACGCGATCACGAATTAACTGGTACTAGTTCCCGTTCAGGTAGCTACCACGGTTAAAAATTCGCGTGCGTTCATTTTTCGCTGAAGCACGGAAATCCAACTATCAATAGGATTTTGCATACTCTTTCAACTATTGAATATCTCGGTTCGATGCATAACGAGTTTGAGGATCTTGGATTCATGGTACGCTGAGTAGGCAAAGAATGTAGACGATGGATAGTAGAACGAGAATCATATCTACTGCAAACGTTACCTACCCTGCCTCTTTTTTTATGAAAATAAATCATGACATTTTTTAATATAACGTTATTCTTCAATTTTGATCAAGTAATACTGTAACTGTTAAAATTCTGATTAAAATAAATCACGATTTGTTACACCCTTCCCCATTTTTTTTTATTTGGTTCAATTTAGATACAGTCATACTTCAGTTATTAAAATTCTGGCGAAAATAAATCGTGAAATATTATGTTATTCTTTTCATGGAAACAGTCAAAAAGGATATTCGTGTATTTTTTATTTGGTTCAATTTTTAAAAAGTAACTTTGCAATTGTTAAAATTCTGGTAAGAATAAATCAAAATATTAAAATTCTATATTATTTTCTCGTGAAATATTTCGATTACGACAGCTTGAAAAGTTTATTTAACGTTTATTAAATACAGAAGTTATTTATAGAATTAGAAAAAATCACGAACGATTCAAGCACTTGAGGTACAGAAGTAGATACACGATACATGCGAGGTTAGAATTCGTAGAGGGCTAGAAAATTGAATGCGTTCCCCTTTTTCCTACTTTACGTGTCTTGGTAAGCATGAATCGTGGAGCGGGCCGTGAATAATTCGGGCGATCTAATCTTTTCCAAGGTGGCATCAAAAAAATCTCATAAAACACGGTTACATGAATTACGTTCGTGGATCTCAACCCCTGTTACACTTACACACGTATCTAATTTTCATGCATAAATTTTCCCCCGAAAATAACTTACACGGATTAGAATAAAACGATCCGGGCTTCCAAAGATTTATCGTTACTTATGCTACGTTCTTTGCGCAAAAAAATGCATTGAAAATATTCCACGTGATATTTACATAATACCAATTTATCATGAATTCTCACGGAAACCTTTCACAAATTGAGGAATTAATAAAATAAAAAATAGAAGATCTAATCTAATCCAAATCGGACTTAATAAATGTCCGATATTCTCAAGGAAAGAAACAGTACATATATGTACATAGAGCAAGATGGTTGCACATTGTTCAAGGAAAGCGTGGAAAGGCCAGCAGCACCCAAGTGCACTTTCAATGCATCCAGTGCAGTTTGTTACAGACAGGTGACGATCCATTGTGTTGGTAAAATATTGACACTCGATATTTTCCTGCACTCAACATAGAGGGAGAAACGTTTACACGTAAGCGCATCTTCGTGATGGAAGTCCATAATTTTTTGCTCAACTTTCCGCCGTCGCGACTCTGCTTTCATCGATATTAATTTTCCTGCTTACCTCTTTAGATGCTAAACGTACTTAGCAATTTTCAGATTCCCTGTACTCTCATTATCATCCTCGACGCTTTTAAGCCGTCCCGTATTTATCTCGATATTTTTACAGTAAACGATGCCTATTCTATTAGAGTTAAATAATAGTAACTAATTACAGAATGATCAGCACGAGGTGTGGTTTGTTCCACTTAGATTATGAATGAAGGACTCTTAACATTCACCACAGTTGACCCAAATAGACCTCGACTAACACGTTTACAAATATTTAATACCAAACGGTGGTCTCGTCACGAACAGCGTGCACGATATTCGAAGCCAAGGCGTTCGATACTGATTTCAATTGTTTACTCACCGTTCTGTTTCCCAGGTTCTTCACGCGACAGTTCAAGTAAGTGGTTTTGCCCAGAAGAGCAGTCACGTTCTTCGAATTCGCTATGTCGAAGTATGGTCCCGATGGTGTACTACTATCGTCGAGGCTGTTCTGATGAGCGTTGCCATTCTTTCCGCTGCTACCGTGCAGCATGCTGTAGCAGTGCGCCTCTGAAAAAACAATATTCAGGTTAATACTATCCTGAAAGAACAATTGTTGGAAATAGGCAATTCGCATGATAAACATTCACGTTTTTATCTATAAACGCAGTCTGAACTTCGCAAACGAATCTGTTCAACTATTCGCTACAGAACGAGCAAACAAAGCTCTTCTCTCGCTGAGATATTCGCGACAATCGCTGGCATCGTCTATTGTTCATTGAAGAACATCGTCGCGTACACTACGGCGTGTTTATCGAACGAGTTCACTGATGAATTTCTTAATGTCCACCGATAGGCAGATAAATTGGATTGATAGCGAGGGAACGGTGCATCGTTGAATCGCGAACGTCAATGTAAGTTTCATAGTTTGATCGAGATGCCATGGATCGCATTGTACTCGGTCGCATCCTATTCATCGAGTTATGGCTACTCAGTGACGTCGACATAAAAGAGAGAAGGATCGTTTTCGATATTTATGGGGTGTCTTGGAGACATTACTTTAAGGGATGATTCGATTCGCCCGATCAATACTGACCTCTTTCGACTATGTATTATGTATGTTCTTTGCATCGTTGATCTTGTATTTTTGCATAATTGAAGCGATTTTCATAAAAAGATGCCGAGTAAGAGGAGTTTAATTTATGGACAGAAAACTTCTTCGGCTAAGTACTTAAACTCATTCTTCGCGTTAATTAACAGGGACGAATAATGAGCCTTTCGGCGGATTTTAATCTCTTTGACAGTTTTAAAACTATTTTCCATCACTTTTTGAACATTCTCTTTGAACGATCTTTTGTTTAAGCGAAATTTAACTTTCGCATCGGAGATTGAAGGGAGAAAGTACGAAACACACGAGACAGTTTCATAATGAATTTAAAAAGATGTGAAAATTTCGAAACGCAATCAGAATAATTATTCGCGTTGCAATTTCGAACAATTGACAATCGACAATCGGCCGACTATTCTCCCTGACGATTTTTAATCCGGAGACATCGAGAAAAGATTCCCGGTAAAACGGTCCGTAAGTGTTTCTCAAGTCCATTCGGGGATACAGTTTCAAACTGTTACCACTTTTGGCGAGTTTTAGAGTGAAACTTCCGGAATGAACCTTAATGCAGTATAGCAAACTTCGATGGAAAAAGGAGGAACGTTGATTTCGCTGCTGTCTCCAACAATTACCAAACTTGTTTACCTCTTTTCTTTTTTTCTTCTTCGGCAACCACTAAACATTCCCCACGCGCGATGATTAAAATAAAATCTGACCTAAATTCGGATTCGAAACTGAAGGAAAATGCTAAGCCGAGAAAATTGATTTTATTGTTTTAGGGCTTTTAGATAGCTAATAATGTAGTTCACTGATTGCGATAGCACTGGTGTAGCTGAATTGAAACAAACTGAAATTGGATTAAATGCAGGAAAGGATTGCGGGATTGTAGATGGTAGTTACACAATCCCAGCTTATTTAAGAAACAAATTACTAACGATGTTCGAGCTTGATATCTTGCATGTAATAGCCAGTAGAATCGGATAGAGAGGAAAACGCAAAGGTAATTGGCTTGTTATCACTTTGGCAGATGTTCTAACCGCACCACTCGTTTTCTACGGGTTTCACTGCTAATTACAGCCCATTGCCGAGAACCAAGCGAGTACATAATCGAATTTCGCTGCTCTTAATTGCGACACGATTACGCGCGCGGACAGTCCGTGTAAATATTGAATTTTCCTCGCGTGCTTGCCTAATCCAACACGCGTACACATCCATCTCTTCTTCTCGTTTTGACACCTCGTTATCGGAAGTGTCTGTTACACTCGAACGATCGTTCTTCGCTAATCACCAAGAGTAATTAATTCATTCGTAACTTTATCTCGAAATCAGTATGCTTGAAAATTGAAGGGAACATTTTTTTTGGAAAATTTTTGAAAAACCGAACACGTTGCGAAGGATAGAAAGAAGGTTTCTCGAGAGGATACGAGACGACACATTTAGAATTTCTAAACAGTCGGGGTCACCAGAAGTTTCGAGACTCGAAGAATGACGATTCTTCGCGAGACGAGGAAGTTCTCGATTCCGTACGCTCCTTTGTGCTACCGTCTCATCGCGAATAACGCTCGGAAGTTGAATTACTTCGAGAGCAGCGCATTCGACGTTTTCCGTGACTTCTTACCGTTTTAATGATGCGCCTTTATTTGCGATTTTTCCCATCGCGCATAATACAAAACTTTCAACGATGTTTATCGAGTAATTCAATTCCATGGGAACTGTGCGCCAGGAAGAAAGTTCGAACAGCTTGTTTTTCTCGATCGACAGATGATAATACAATTATAAAAATATAATCGAAGAGCTCCATTTTTAAAAGAATTTCTTCGAAAGTGTCCTTTCGTTTTCTAGCAGAATCCTCGCGGAGACAAGCGAGGATCAGCATTCTTTTAAACGAAGAAAACAAGTTGCCGAACAGTGGAAGCTACTTCTGCGATTTCACGAACGAGCAAGCCGACAATACGCTCGAGCAAAAGAGGTACATAGAGCTGCAGCGTCCCGAATTCCCAAGGAACTGGGAATCGTAAACCGTGCTTCCCTTCCGTTGAACGCGATCAACCGCTGAGAAATGTAAAACTCGTTTCCCTCGGCTTTCTCTCGCTTCGCGAACATCCAGAGGAACCTTTCCTCTTCCCGAGAGGCAACGTGTTTCTTCTCTCTTGGAATTTGTTTTTCGCGCGTGAACGCGACAAGCATCGATTAAGTTCGCGGTACGAGTCCCGAATAATGTCGTTTCACAATGAATCGACCACAGATCAAGCTTATATTCCGTATTATCGTAAGAAATATGCACCTTTTTTTTCCAAAGTACCTAGTCAATTTCCTCTAGCAGAGTCGGAAAATTTGAAGGACGGTCAAATTTCGTCGCTTGTACCACGAGGTTTCGAGGGTCGAAGAGATTCTCTTAAATTTCCAGATTTTACGGCTCGCGGCTCGAAGCCAGCTCGTAAAACATTCGCCGAGAGAGAAACATACACAGCGAAAAGGTGAGCGAGAAGAAACACGGCGGTGGCACGGGGGTGCGGAAGGAAGAACCGTAGGAGGATCTTTCAATCTAACCAGGGTGCAGCTAGCTCGTCGAAGAAAGAGCAGGAAGCCAAGCGACTACCGAACAGCGGACCCGGCTGGTCTGTTTTAAAATTCAAATTCACAACTTTTGCTTAAACGTCTCTTAGATAGCCGAGATAGCTGCGTCGCTACCCTCCAAACTAACCGAGTTCCGCCCTGCGGCTGAATCTCGCAGGACGTGTAAAAAAATAGTCCCCGAGTTTCCATGGGAAACGTGGGAAAGTAAGAGCTGTATCAAAGTTCGAAACGATGGCTGATCTATGATAAGTAAATTGATCCGGGCATTAGGAATCTCCTGAACGATGCAATTCTAATAATACATCACGTACAAAACTCAAGGATGATGAAATTCTGATCTCGTCATTGATCAACCCGTGTCTCGCCGACTTTCCGGACAAATAATAATTATAAAATATCAAACGGCTACTGTTTCTCGCGGTGTGGTCGAGCTTCGGGGCGAGAAAGATAATGCAATTGGAAGTGTGGAAAATCAATTCGATGATAAATCTTCCGGACCCATCGTAAATAACGACTCTCCGGGATACGGTCAGATAGCAGTCTGACACCGGAACGCGACAAAGAAATATGATAGCGGCGGTTGAGTTTATTTATCGTGGAAAATGTCGTGTGAATAGGTGAGGGGTTTCTTTGCTCGATCCAGTACCCCACGGGAATTCATCGACCTGGCCATTTTACATTTTTCCTTCCAGATCGTACCCGCTACCCGCCTATCGCAAAGAGGGAACCAGTTCGTCGTTCTTCCGGAGATTTGACGGGTCCGCTCGTAAACTTTTTACTACGATTCTCGTACAATATGCTTGAAGCGGGGACGATGGTGTTGCTCAGCCCCATTTTTAGATCTCTATTTCTTCTTCTGAGTTGGTAAACGATTTAGAAACGACAAGTACCGCGGTCTCTGTCTTTCTCGACTACTAGAGATTCGGGATATACCGTCAGTTAAATAGAAATACTTCTGGTTTCGAGAGTGTGGAAGGTAACAGTAAAACACTTGCACCCAACAGTGATATTTATGGTTCAGGATCAAAGCTGTATTTATCTTCTCCCGAAGCGTTATTGATCCTTCGATTTTTCACTGTTCCCGAAGAAATAGTCTACTCACGTCCTTCTCACAAAACAGCGACATTGTTGAACAAGTTAAATTAGTTACCAGCCGTAATGGTCTAGTTTCCTGGAAAACGAATGATAACGAGAAGTCTCGTTACCGATTAGCGTTTCTCGTTCGAAGCCGGTACTCATTAAAGTAACGAGTATCCTAAAATACTTCTTTACACGATTCTGAACATCACTGATACGATTATTAGAACTTCGCATCTATATCTAGCGCTTATCCTCGACGCATCGATGTACATTCTACTTCATGTTTATTTTCACTCTACTCTCGGACGAGATAATCATTTGTTTGTAATTGACAACATCAGCCACTGTTTTGTCTGTTTTATCTAATCTTAAGAATACTTATAAAAACGTATCTGCGTATTTTATTCCTGCTTAGTATACGCAAAATTGGGCAACTTTTAAATCATTCGAGTATCATTTGTGATCTCTAAATACCAATGATAAATGAACAGACGAATCATCTGGTCATTAAACAACAAACTGTAACGTTACCCAATCCCAAGATATCCAGAAATATAGCACAAAAATTGAAAGTCATGAACTATATCTGAGATAATAGGGCTTAGAGATAATGAAAGCTTAAAAACAATAGTAACCTATTTTACTGGTTTTAATCAATTATTGGTAGGCGATTGACGAGGTGAGGTGAATCGTCACGTTAACGAAATAGTCGTATCGAAATTTAATCTACCTCGGTTTCTACCGAAATACCGGCATTGCTTATTCTTAACGCCGATAGTAGAATTTTCAACAAAGAAAATAGAAA